AAGTAAAGAATTTAGTCCATTGTGTGGTCCGAAACTGAGCGTGGAGAGGGAGTGCTTGACGTGTCGGTCGTTTCCGAGTAGAATGGAAGTAACGACGGAGCATCATCAGGAGATTGACGTTGGCGTTTAGGAGTAGGACCGGAGTTGGTCCGGCAGGAAATGGGTGGGCGATTCGAAAATTGCCGTACCGTAGAGGGAGAAGCCGGAAGCATAGTCAAAGGAGAGCGGAGTTCAGACAAATCGAAGGAGTCAGTCGAAGCCCCAGTACCTGAAGCGGGTGAGGAAACAGCACCAGCAAGAGGTACAGGGGCATCAGGAGTGTCCGAAGAGTGGTCTAAACACAAGGCAGGGTCAGAATGGGGTGCGGTATCAAGAAGGGGCCCGGGGGTAGTGGTTTCATGGACTAGGGCTGCCATGGTTAGGTTACTCCCTTTGCTTTTTTTTTTTTAAGAAAAAAAAAGAAAGAAGAAAAGAAAATAAAAATAAAAAAAAGAATAAAAAAAGGGGGGAGCGGGGAGGAATAGTTCCCAGGAGGAATGAAAGGGCCGGAAATCCCCCTCCGCGCCCAAGAGGACTCGACACCGCGCTAGTAGCGCAGATGCAGCATGGAACCCGTGCCATACCCTACCCTTCATGCCAGTAAACCAGCAATCTGGGATAGCAACCTCACATCTGCCGAGCTACCTCGGTGGACAAAAGAGAGGGCGGCCGGATATCCGCCACAAAGCATACCTCCTTCAGCCACCACCCCCGGAATCCGAAAGGTGGCTTCCAGAGATACACCCGTCGCCCAAAAGACACCCAAAGCTACTCCGGGATACCGGAGAGGGATCGGGACATCCCCAGGCAATCCAGATTCCACGGCAAACTACGCCACCGCCAAGAAACCTCAACGGAATGGGATGGACTCCGGTGTCCTTTCCCCTACCTAGGAACTAGTGCGCCTGTGGGAGAAATCACGAAGGCCAAGAAGAGGAAGGGCAAAAGGGAGGGGTGAGGAGGAGGAGGAGGAATGGAAAAAGGGGAGGATGGGGAGGATGGGATAGGGGAGGGGAGAATGGGGGGTAATTAGGTTCGGTCTGAGGAAGAAGACCGACAGGGCTAATTCCTCAGACCAAGAGCCTCTTCACCACGCCAAGGAGCCCCCCTTGAAGAGGCGCCGATCCGTAAACATCGCCGAGACCGCTAACTTTGCGAGAGCATAATTCCGTAAGTTTTCTATCAAATTTCAAACTTTTGGTGTCGTTATGATCGGGAAAAGATTCTCTATCTTTTCATAAGAGAAAATTATTTTTTTTTTTTTTAAATTTGGCCGACCCTGAGAACGAGTTTCGGAGAGGGCCTGTCGACCCTCAAAGGGTTAAAGTTAAAAAAGAAACTTTTGTTTTTCTTTTTGGGCCACCCTGCTTTGGTGGGATATGGCTGGTTTGTTGAAAGATGGAGATTAAAAGTATTATTAAAAGTATTATTAATACAATCAAATTAAGCACTAAACCCTTGAGTGAATGAAAATGTGACAGCTGCAGAAGAAACAAGCGAAGATAAGCAGGTAGACAACACAAAGTAAATCATAGACATATCAAGAATTTATTAAATACTTTATTAAAGATTTCAATAAAAGCTTGCTTAGAAAGGTCATACAGAGCTGTGGGAGAATGAACAAAAGAAGGTATGTGCGAAGGTTACGAGTGAATGAAGGGTAGGCGTAACTAGTAATAGCAGTCAGTTGTTTTCATGACCTTATTTATTGCACTTTTTTCCAGTAGAATTAAGACACTATTATGGAGTTCAAATGCTTTCAAATGAGAGTTTAATGTACTTGTGATTAAATCTTAAGAAAATCATATATATATATATTAAATTTACAGCTTATCAATCAAATGAGAGCTCTTTATACACATGCATAAAATGAACACACACAGAGAATAAAGAATTAGGCAAAAACTGAGAAAAATATTACAACTCAAGCATAAGAAATTATGAACATTAAATCTAGTCTAGCAAATCTATACCTATATATATATAATCTCTACTAGTAATGGCATACTAAAATTTATGCCGATACTGATATCTATATTGAATTTTAGACCAATACTCAGAGATACCATCAAATTTAGTTAATTCCCACTTATATTGATACCCCCTTTTGATCTGATATTGATACATGCACAAAGTTAATACACAAAGTATTAATGGTTTTGGTAAAAGACATAAAAATCACTTAAAATAATGTTTGATTATTTGCAATGATCATAACTGTAGATTAGTATTCATAATTACTGTATAGGTAACTGTTTCACAAGTGCCAAAATCATAAGTGCAAAACATCAAACAGTAATTTGAAACATTGTAAGATGGAAAATTGAAGTCAAGGCCCTAATGTACTGCTTTAAGATTTTTGTTCAAGTTTCACCTATACTATAACAGCTTTTTGTTTACAGAGAGAGGACTGCTTATAAACAATAGCAACAAAACAAAAACAAGATAAAAATACAATTTCTTTTACAAATGTCTTACCTAAGACATGCATTGCTATTATGTAATGTTTCCACCTTTGATGAAAGATTGTTCTTGGCTTGTTGCAAGTTTTCTACAGTTGATTTCAGCAACTTCTGTTCTTCTTCCCACTGAAGTTTTTCCGCAAGAAGCCTAGAATGTGTTTCCTTTAATTTGCAAACTGCTGATTTATGTTCCTCCAATTCCTTCTGAAATTCATCAGATTGGGCCCATGTGCCATCTAACTGCCTTTTAACTTCTAACTGATTTTGGGAAGCATTTGAAGTTTTCTTCTCTTCTTCTTGTAGCCTTGCTAACAATGTTTTCTTCTCTTCACTTAAAAGTGATTGCTTATCTTGCAGAGACTGTATAGTTGCATTCTTTTTGTTTTCCAATTCTTCTATAGCAGCCCGAGATTGTGTACACTCCTCCTCTTTGGTAACAAGGGTTACCGAGGCCTCTGAAAGTTGAGCGACAACCACATCATGTTTTTCATGCAACTTTTTCAACTCTTCCTCCAGATATTCTACTCGAGCCATTGCCTCTTCTGTACGCTTGGCATTAATTTCAAGTTCACTCATTTTTTGGGATTTTAATACGATATCATCTTTCAGTGCAGATATTTCCAAAGCTGCAGCTTCTAGCCTACTCTTCAGTGCATCAAATTCTTCGCTCAATACCCGAGAAGTACTACTGCTCTGACTTAGTTCCTCTTCTTTCTCCTTGAGAGAGCATGTTAATATTTCACACTGACATTTTGAGTCTCTCCAGTTATCAGTTGCTTCTTCTACTAATTTCTCCAGTTTTGCTATCTCTATCTCTCTCTCTTTTATTAAGCTCTCATTGCTTCTCAAAGTTGATACAACCTCATTATATGCCATGGTTTTCTCATCAATACTGACTGTTAGCTGACAAATGTCTTGCTCAGCTTCCGTTAATTTTGTTGACTTTTCCCTATGTTTGTTACCAAGGTCTTCTAAACTTAATTTCAGACATGCTATTGCTTGCCCCAATTCTGAGCGTTCCTGCACGAAAGTTTGTGCCTTATTCTCAAAAGTGATGCTCAACTGGTCAAGCTTAGCATGAAGTGTGTGACCTTGCTCTTTCAAATTAGCACTTTGAGTTTCTGCAACTTCAAGGGCACCCTGAACAATAGATAATTTCTCCTCATTATCAGTAATCATCCTCTCTCTCTCTTCTTCTAGTATCCTATTTTCAGCTTTCATAGTTTCAAGTTGAGACTTAAGATTTTCCATTTCCTTTTGTTTTTTTTCTAAGGATTCTTCATGCTTTTCTAGAATACTGTTCAGATTTCTAATACTTTCTGTATGATGTTTTTCTTCATTTACATATTTCACTTCAATCTGCTGCTTCTGTTCTCGGGCTTCTTTAAGTTGTTGTTCATGACTGTCACATCTGCTCTGCAGATGGATTGCAAAATCACGCTCCTTCTCCAAGGCAGTGACACTGTCTACAAGTGACACCTGTAGATTCTGGAATTTGTCCTCCATCTCACCTTTCAGTGATTTCAGCTGATCAACCAATTCCATGTTCTCTGCTTGTGCACTAGCTAATGTAACAGTTAAGGCATCCATTTCTTTGTAATTTTTAGCTAATGTTAGTTCCTTTTCTTCTACAGACTTATTCAGAGTTGCAATGCTGTCTGTGTGCAGTTTACGCTCATCTTTGAGCTGAGATTCAATTTGTTCTTTATCTTCACTCAGTGTCTCTAGTTTTACCTCCAGATTAAAGCATTTCTTCTCCAGATCTGAAATAGTTTGCTTTTTCTCTTCAAGTGATGAAGTTAACATTTGAACACTTGCTTCCTTCTCTCTCATCTGTGATTCATGATGTTCTTCTGCTGCCTTTTCTCTCATCAGAACTTCAATCTGGAAAACAAGAATAAATATTACAAGACAGCAAACTAACTGGACAAATTTTGTTATAACCAAAGACCGCTTTAGTTTTTTTTTTTTTTTTCCAACAAGTCGGCTGTCTCCCACCAAGGCAGGGTGACCCAAAAAAGAAAAAATCCCCAAAAAGAAAATACTTTCATCATTCAAAACTTTAACCTCACTCATGCATAATCACTTTTTCCAGAGGCACCCAGATACAACAGTTAAGAAGCATATATAAAGATATACCGTAGAACCTCGGCTTACGAATACCCCACCATGCGAATTTTTCAGGATACGAACAGTCTATCGATTTTTTTTTGCTTCTGGATACGAACGATATTTCAGGATGCGAACTTCCTCCTCAAGGGAGGTTCCTTGTCAAGAGGCTCTTGATCAAGGGAATTGGATCTACGCTCCACTTCCCTAAATTAATAATAATAATGTTAATAAAAGCATTAGTCAGAGGGCAGAAGAGGGGTTGTTGAGGTGGTTTGGTCATTTAGAGAGAATGGATCAAAGTAGAATGACATGGAAAGCATATAAATCTATAGGGGAAGGAAAGAGGGGTAGGGGTCATCCTCGAAAGGGTTGGAAAGAGGGGGTAAAGGAGGTTTTGTGGGCGAGGGACTTGGACTTCCAGCAAGCGTGCACGAGCGTGTTGGATAGGAGTGAATGGAGACGAATGATACTTGGGACCTGACGATCTGTTGGAGTGTGAGCAGAGTAATATTTAGTGAAGGGATTCAGGGAAACCGGTTATTTTCTTATAGTCGGACTTGAGTCCTGGAAATGGGAAGTACAATGCCTGCACTTTAAAGGAGGGGTTTGGGATATTGGCAGTTTGGAGGGATATGTTGTGTATCTTTATACATATATGCTTCTAAACTGTTGTATCCTGAGCACCTCTGCAAAAGCACTGATAATGTGTGAGTGTGGTGAAAGTGTTGAATGATGATGAAAGTATTTTCTTTTTGGGGATTTTCTTTCTTTTTTGGGTCACCCTGCCTCGGTGGGAGACGACCAACTTGTTGAAAAAAAAAAAAAATAATAATGTAGGTAGTAGGTTGATAAGACAGCAACCACTTAGAGGTACTACCGTTCTGCCAAGCGAGTGTAAAATGGAAGCCTATAATTGTTTTACATAAAGGTAGGATTGCTGGTGTCTTTTTATTCTGTCTCGTACACATGCAAGATTCCTGGTACGTCTTGCTACTTCTACTTACACTGAAGTCACACTACACATACATGTACAAGCATATATACACACACCCCTCTGGGTTTTCTTCTATTTTCTTTCTAGTTCTTGTTTATTTCTTACCTCCATGGGGAAGTGGAACAGAATTCTTCCTCCGTAAGCCATGCATGTTGTAAGAGGAGACTAAAATGCCGGGGGGCAAGGAGATAGTAACCCCTTCTCCCGTATAAATTACTAAATTTAAAAAGAGAAACTTTCATTTTTCTTTTTGGGCCACCCTGCCTTGGTGCGATATGGTATATAGTATATATATAGTATATAGTAGGTTGGTAGACAGCAACCACCCAGGGAGGTACTACCGTCCTGCCAAGTCAGTGTAAAACGAAGCCTGTGATTGTTTTACATGATGGTAGGATTGCTGATGTCTTTTGTCTGTCTCATAAATATGCAAGATTACAGGCATGTCTTGCTACTTCTACTTAGGTCACACTACACATACATGGTACACATTTTACTTATAACACACTCATCTTGAGTTTTCTTTGATTTTTATCTTAATAGTTTCTTGGACTTATTATTTTCCTTTTATATCATGGGGAATTGGAATAAGAATTCTTTCCCCTCCCGTAAAGCATGCGTGTTGTAAAAAGTCCAACTAAAATGCCGGGAACAATGGGCTAGTAACCCCTTTTCCTGTAAAGATTACTAAAAAGAATAATAATAAGAAAATTTGTCAAATTGGGAAGTCTGAATTGTGCTGGATGTTGTGCAGATGAATTAGAAAGAGGATGATTGTGGATGTTATGAATGAGAAGAAGCTGGATTCCTGCTTTAAGTGAAACAAAGCTGAAGGTGTGGGAGAGTTTTCAGTGGAGAGAATAAATGGGATTGAGGTCAGGGTTTCTAACATAGAGTTAGAGCAAAGAAGGAGTAGCAATAATGTTGAAGGATAAGCTATGGCAGGTAAGAAGAGGGACTATAAATGATGTATTAATTCAAGATTCGAGGTGGAGTAAAATAAAGATTTGGATAGTGAAAAGTGGGTTATAATAAGCGTGAATGCACTGGAGAAGAGAGAATGTAGAAGAGAGAGGACATAACTTGGGAAATGTTGAGTGAATGGCGTGGGGAGATTTTGAAGCAAGTGAGAAGAGTAAATGGTGGTTGGGGATTTCAATGCAAAAGTGGGTTTAAAAAGTGTTATGGAAGGGGTATAGGTAGAAATTTGGGGTGCCCAGGGGTAAATGTAAAGGGGAGCCTTTAAGTGAGCTATGTGTAGAAAAAGAAATTTGTCATAAGTAATACGATAATTTATGAAAAAGAGGATAAAAAAATAAACAAGGTATGATGTAGCACGTAATGAAAGTTAGTTTATTAGATTATGTATTGGTGGATAAAAGGGTTGATGGTAGCCTCCAGGATTTACATGTTATAGGAGGGGCAATCTGATATACGGATCATTATTTAGGTTGTAGCTACAGTTTAGAGTTAGAGGTAGATGTGAAAAGAGGAAGGTGGCAACAACCAGTATGAGGGAGGTGAAAGTGTATAAACTAGGGAGGAGGAACGTTCGGGTGAGATATAAAAGCGACTATTGGCAGAAAGGTGGCTAGTGCAAAGATGAGTAGTGGGGGGTGAAGAGGTTGGAATATTTTAAAAATCAGTATTAGAAAGTGGGGCAGAAGTTTGTGGTTTATAGAGGGTGGGGGCAGGAGGAAAAGAGGGAGTGATTGGTGAATGATGAAGTAAAGGTGGTGTTGATAAAAGAGAAAAAGGTAGCTATAGAGGATTTACAAACAGAAGTGTTATAAGAGAGCAGAGAATATGGAGAATAAAATGAAAGGTAAGAGATGTGAGAGTGCAAAAGGAGAGCAGAAGACAGATTGGAGAGGGCACTGTCAAGAAATTTTTAATAAATAGAGAAAAAATTTTTGGAGTGATTAAACAAGTTAAGAAAGCCTAGGGAAAATATGGATTTGTCAGTTAAAGAACAGAGTAGGGGAGTTAGTAGAATGGGGAGATGAAGGTATTGGGTATATGGCGAGAACATTTTGAGGAACTTTTAAATGTTAAGGAAGAAACAAGGCAGTAAATTTCATGCACTGGTCAGGGAGTATAACCATCTTTTATGGAGTGAAGAAGACGAATGTAAGTGTGGGGTAGGTACCGTGATGCATTACAGTAAAATGAAAGGGGTAAAGCAGCTGGAAACTGATGGGAACATGACAGAACTAGTAAAAGCAAGAGTCTATAGTGTTGGACGTGGTGTGGTACTTTTGTTAATAAATGTATGAAAGAGGGGAAGTGTACCTAGGGATGGTAGAGAGCATGTATATCCCTTTATATAAAGGAAAGGGACAAAAGAGACTGAAAAAACTTATAGAGGAATACAGCTTTACACTGATTATACCAGAAAAGTGTACGGTAGGAGTTATAACTGAAAAGGAATTAGAGTAAGACAGAATGTAAGGATTGCGGATGAGCAAGGGAGGTTTGTAGAGTGGGTAGGGGATGTGTAGATCATGTGTTTTACTATTGAAGCATATATGTGGAAAGTAATTTAGATAAAGATATGGAAGTTTTTAGTGCATTTAATGGATTTAAAAAGGCATAAGTGATAGAGTGGATAGAGGAGCAATGTTGGCAGATGTTGCAAGTATATGGAATAGGTGGTAAGTTATTAAATGCTGTAAAAGAGTTTTTATAGGATAGTGAGGCTCAGGTTAGGGTGTGTAGAAGAAGGAGACTACTTCCCGGTTAAAAGTAGGTCTTAGACAGGGATGTTAATGTCACCATTGGTTGTTTATATATTTAATAGATGGGTTATAAAGAAAAGTAAATTCTAGGGTGTTTGGAGAGGGTTGCGATTAAATTATGGTAATTCAAATCAAATAATGGGAAACTGACACAGTACTTTATGCTGATGATACTTGTGCTTATGGTATATTCTAAAGAAAAATTGTCCTAAAGGTTGTGGATGAGCTTGGGAATGTGTTGTAAAGGTAGAAATTTTGAAAGTTAACATAGAAAAGAGTAAGGTGATGAGGTTTGTTCAAATGATTTAATAAAGAAAAATTGGATATACAAATTGGGGAGAGAATATGGGAAGAAGTGAATGTTAGTCATATACTTGGGAGTGTGACGAGTCGGCTGGAATGGTTTTATGAATTATAAGGTTAATCATAGAATTGATGAGTAAAAAAGGTGAGTGGTGCGTTGAGTTATATAGTGGAGACAAAAAAACGTAATCTATATGGAGGCAAAGAAGGGAATGTATGAAAGTATAGATATTACCAACACTCCTTAAATGGGTTTGAAGCTTGGTTTTAAAAGCAGCAGCGAGGAGAGCGTTGGAGCAGTGAGATGTCCTTGATTAAGGGCAATGTGTGGTGTATATATTATCAGGAAAATTCGATGTGGAGAAATTAGAGAAGGTGTTGAGTAAAATAAAAGGTATTAGCAGAGGGCAGAAGAGGGGTTTTGAGAGGTGGTTTTGGTCATTTAAGAGCAATTGTATCAAAAGTAGAATGACATGGAAAGCATATAAAGTCTAATAGGTGGAAGGAAAGGCGGGGTAGGGCCGTCCTCGAAAGGGGAGGAGAGAGGGGGTAAAGGATGGTTTGTGGGATAAGGGCTTGGGACTTTCCAGCAAGCGTGCGTGAGCGGTTTAGATAGGAGTGAATGGAGACGAATGTTACTTGGGACCTGACATAGTCTTGTTGGAGTGGAGCAGTGTAATATTTAGTTGAAGGGAAATCCAGGGAAACCGGTTATTTTCATATAGTCAGGGTGTACT